ACGTGCATGCGCAGCAGAGACCCAATGGCCAGTGGGAGGTGGGGCATCCCAACACCGGCAGTGCGGCAAGAGGTAAGATCTTTTTCTTTCATAAGCTTCTGTTTCATCGTTTGCAGGAAAACAGAAGCTCATGAAAGAAACGCCATGGAGCTCTGACCTGGGACGATGGCAGGCGTGCCAGCAGAGAGGGCTCTGCGTGCTACCTCTGCCACGCATGCCATAGGTTCGCGGGTGTATTCTGTACAGCCCAGCATATGGACTGAGCAAACTCTGCTATCCTTTCTCAAGCCTCAGATAGTCTTAGACAAATCAATCTTGGAATACAGTTTTGTATTGGCAAAATCATAAAGTGTTTTTTCCTGCCCAAGTTTCATGTCCTAGAAAGAAATTTCTGGATCCTAGAAACACCCTTGCAAGTGCCCTTGGGTTTGAGGTAGACTGCAAAAGATGTTTCTTTAATATGGTATGTCTGTTTACTTTCTGAGTCATGCTGCTGTGTGACATTAAATCAACCCATTCCCTCTCTCTCTAGTACCATGGCTCCCCTCAAATTGGACAGGAGCCCAGATATTGCAGAAACACTCATAAATTAGAGCCATTAAATATCATGCTTTCTGCAGCATCAGGGACCCACAAACAGACTGAGCGTGAGCTGAATGCCGCTATCTATCACTTTAATGGGTGTACTCTGGAAATTAAACCTGTCACAGCCCATCAAAGGGAATGTTTCAGCCTGTGACATTCTGATATGCTCATTTCTCGCACGTCTTTCTTTGTTTCTTGCCACCTTCCCCGTGTGCTTCCACTTAACCCATGACCTTTGATACTTGGAGCTCTGAAGTCAGGCCATAAGGTTGGTTCTAAGGATGTGAGCGGCCCTGAGTCTTCCATCAGAATCCAACAAAGCTATTCTTAAGAGGTCTGTCATTTGCTATCAGAAGGGGATAAGCAGGACTCTAGGAAAAGATAATAAGCAATCCTTGTCCAGCTTTAGGAAAAAATAAAAAATCTATAGAGATAATACTTTGATTAGGCAACTACTTTTATGGGTTCTTTTCTTAGAACATTTTATCATGCAGAATGTTTCTAAACTAGGACAGGGGTCGGCAACCTTAAACACACAAAGAGCCACAAAGGTCCTAACCGGAAGCCCCCATTCAATTCTGGAGCCAACCGGAAGTCCAGCTCCCCCACCATAGAGTCTCCTCCTAGCGTGGCGTCCTTTTTCCTCTGCTGACAGGAAGCCCGGTTCTCCCACCATAGAATCTCCTCTTAGCGCATCATCCTTTTTCCTTTACCTGTCCTAACCGAAAGCCCTATCAATTGTGGAACCGACTGGTGACAGGGAGCCGCAGCAGAGGGATGAAAGAGCCACATGCGGTTCCAGAGCTGTGGATTGCTGACCCCTGAACTAGGAAAAAGGCAGGAGGAAAAACACGGCTACTTTTTCAGTCTTTGCCAGTGGTGGGATTCTACCGGTTCTATCCGGTTCAGGTGAATCGGTAGCAGCGGGAGGCTCCGCCCACCCACCTGGACGTCATCATGGATGCTCTGTGCATGTGCAGAACGCTTTGTGCATGCACAAAGGTGGCGCGCGTGAGCGAAGTGAGTGTGCGTGCACGCTCACATTTCCGAACCAGTAGCGAAGGTAAGTGAATACCACTACTGGTCTGTGCCTATGCTTATATAATCTTAATGGAGTGGCAGCTTTCAGGCACATGCAAATTGAGTGTTGGAAAATTCAAGATGGTGTTGGAAAGCCTGATAGGTGAGGGAAACAAGTGAATCTTTTTTGTCCCGTTTTTAAAAACTTTTGAAATTGGTGGCAGCATCTAGCCAATGTTAGTTGATCTCAAAAAAAATGCCAAGGAGAGTCAGACTGGCCCTCAGATGAGAAGTCACCAAGAAATCCCAAGACTCTAAGGTAGAAGAGGAAGTCAAATCATTGTGGACAAAGACAATCAGTCCCCTTTTAACTCCCCAGCCCCAGATATACAGGAATTTGAGCTAGTCTTGGATAAGTCTTTATCTTTGCATCCAAAGCATGTCCATCTCATGTTAAATCCTTTAGTTTAGCTAGTAAAACTCAAGATGAAGCAGCCTTCACCAAACTAGGGAAACAGAATTTACTAAACAGAAGAAAGGAAGCTAAATTTTACAAATACGGGCAATTACTTGGACTTATGCCAAAATATCAATTTATTTCTGCCAAACTTGAGATAATAATATCCATCCTGTGTATTAGACACATCCTGGAGATTGAAAAGTTCCCCTAGGATGGGTTACAGCATGAGTCCAAAAGTTCCAAAGGCTAATCCTCTGGTCCCGGTGACAGACTAAGATTGGATCTGCAATATTATCCTGGGACACAAATATTTGCCTTCATTTGCAGTAATATCCATGTCTGGGATGAAGAGCCAGGACTTGAGTTTACCTGGATTAATCTGAACTATATAGAAAATAGTTGGAGTGGGAGAAGGAGGAATGGTGGAAAAGCAAACATTTATTTTCAGGAGCATATTTGATCCCAGTTGAAAATCTATTTATTATTATTAGATTTTTAGTGAGAGAGAGAGTGATTTCAACTCAAGGTGGTGAGTATCCTAATATTTCTATCTGTCTCCTGGTTTTCCCATAACAACAACCTAGGGGATGAATTAGTCTGAGCGACTGGCTCAAAGTCATCCTGCCAATTTCCATGCCCAAGAGAGGATTGGAATTCACACCTTCGTGATCTGTAGGCCACACCTTAGCCACTGCACCAAATTGGCTCTCATCACCTTGCAAAACCCTTATTCCTCTTGTCCCTTATCTACTGTAGATGTACATACAAACTGCAAACTGCTTGTTATTCTGCCTATACTGTGTTCAAAAATATTTGAACTATTTGTTATTCTTTAATGGGTTGTGACAGTCACGCATTAGACCCGTGATCGCGAACCTATGGCACGCGTGCCAGAGGTGGCACACAGCGCCCTCTCTGTGACCACGCGAGTTGTCGCTTCAGTTCAGCTCTGCCGCACATGCGTGCGCGCCTCCTGCCGGCCAGCTGGTCTTCAGGTCTGTACTGTGCATGCGTGGGGGGCAGGGGGCGTGCGGGGGGCTGCGCACGCATGCACAGGGGTGGGATGCGTGCGGGGGGCCATGAGCACATGTACAGGGGGCAGAGCGCATGCAGTGGGCCACGGACGCATGCGGAGGGCGGATGCAGTGGTCATGCGTACATTGCATTTGGGGGGTTTGGGCACGCGCACTTTGGCCACTCGGTCTGGAAAAGGTTAGCCATCACTGCACTAGACTAATAGACTGGTATTTTATTTATTTTTTAAACTTTCAATAGAAAGATAAGCGTCCACCATTTGCTCACTAGAAGGATTCCTCTTACAGCGGAATCCATGCTGGCTAGTAATAATGGAAATATCTTGCACATTGGGAAAGCACCAAGTTGACTAAGACTCGTGTAGATTTTTCATATAACCCAGAAAAGGGAGAGCTTAACTAAAAACAAAAAACATTGGAGAGCTTTTCCTCAATTATCTAAAGCAATGGATTGAAAGAGACTGAATTTAAAATGTCAGTGAGACATTTTCCTTCTCTTTTTGTTAAACATATTCAGAACCAGGTAACAATAATTGAGAAAATAAGAAAGACGAGGGGGAAATTGCAGAGTTGTTTTATGTAATTCTTGGTATCATTCAAGTTAGTTCTATGAAATTCAGAGCAGTAGGACAACTAAGTCTTTGCTGCAGGTATTGACTGCACCCTTTGTGTGTCAGTATTGCTCCATAGAGCCAGGATTTTCAAAGAGAGAGAGAGGGAGGGAGGGAGGGGAAGGGAGAGGAGAGAGAATTCTGTGAAACACAGTTTGAAAAACTCTGGCCTGCAGCTTCAGTGTGTTTTGATCTGGAAGAGTGGGCAAACCTGCTATCATTCTGATAAACAACTTTAAGTCACCATCCTTATAAAGCTCAAAGATGACTTTCCTACTTCACTTTCCTAAAGTGAAATACAAACTTACAAGTTGTTCTCCCATTGCATTGTCTAATCTCCATATTTGTTGTTGTGGCAACAAGATGTCCATATAGCATTAAAAGTATTGGAACAGAAACTTGTATCAGCTTTCCTTAATCGGATGCTTTCTGGATTTCCTGGGCTACCATTATCACCATCATCAGTCAACATGCTTCTTGTTCTAGGAAGCCAATCGTGAGCTGAGCTTTGACTTGTCCCTTAAATCCCTTATTCTCAACTCTTTATATTCTTCCCATCTTTTTATACTTCTGTACTAGATCTCCCTTTTCTTGGAATCATCATATAGCTTTGAAGACATACGTTTAAATTTCATAAGCTTAATTATTTTAGCATTAAAAACGGTAACTTCACTGTGAAAAATTCTAATTCAGTAGGATCCTTCCAAATAGTTGCTTCTGTTACATGATATTTGGGACAAATTAACATGAGCTATTAAGACATTCTCACAGTGGGTTATAATACCTAACCCAACTGTCTGATCTAGAAAAAGATAAATAGGATTGGATTATAATATCATTGGGAAATCTTGAGCTATAGACCAGATTGGACAGTTGGAAAAAGGCTTGGTCTTGTGCAGCTAGAATTAATCCGTCTGTCCCTTTCTTCAGTTTTCCTGTTCTTAATTGCTATTATTGTCTGTTTTGCCTGCTATTTTTTATGTACTGTCCATGTAATACTTTGCCTTTTCATGTCTCATTTGTGTTTCTTGTAGGCCAGTTTTGTCTCTCCAGTACTCAGTAAGCCTTCATGGTATTCTAGCTTCAGGTGCACTTATCCTTCAGATATTCTTTCAATGCCCTTTTTAGTTCTTCACCTGCTTGCAACATTCCACAACCCACCTATTTTCCTTGTAAATAGAGTCTGTCGACATCACTGTATGGATGAAGGGCATAATTCGTTGTCATTGGGTTTTTTGACCTTCCTAGCCAAAGCTTTTAGTTCTGCTTGAGTCCAACCCACTATTTCAGTTATGTATCTGTATATTTAATTGCCCAGGTGTTAATTGGTCTGATGGTATTGCCTCCGCTGAGTTTGCATTCTAAGATCTTCACTCTCAGGATATATTCACTTCTAACCTTCCTCTTGATTTTACTGTGGTTGATGTCGTCAGCCTGATGGATGCCCAGGTATTTAGAACGATCATCTTCATTAAAACTCTTCATATAATATCCATAGGGCATCTTGATTCCTTCAGTTTTCACTATTTTTCCTCTGTTGATGGTGAGGGTGGCACATTTGACCAGTCCAAATTCCATTGCAATACCTTGTTGAACAGGGTTTCTATTTCAGATGGTGATTTTTTTTCATTCAGCTTCAAATCATTCATCTAACAGAGGTGTACCAGCTTGGCAGATGTTTCTGATGTTTGATAGCCATGGCCTGACTTGTTCAATATTGTTGACAGAGAAATCAGTGCAATGATAAACAATAGTGGTGATGTTTTCTTGAAAAATTCCTCTTTTGATACTAAACTCTTCCAGTCTATTGCCACTGATTAGCAACTATGTCTGCCATTGTGCCATTGATCTTTGCATAAAGTTTCTGATGTTTCTACTGACTCCCATTATTTCTAAGCACTTGATTATCCAATCATGTGGTCAAATGCCTTCTTGTAGTCAAGCCAAGGTATATTCAAGTTAGTCTTCCTTCTCTTGAAGTTTTCCAAAATCATCTTGTCAGTTAGGAGTTGATATGTTGTTGTTCCTCTGCAGTTTGAGCAGTGTCCTTTCTGCTCAGGTGAAAGAGCTTGTTTTCAATTAGATGCTTTGTTGGTGTGGGGGACAGCATCAGCTACCACACCAGTTAGCAATTTGAAAATTGTTGGTAAGAAGGTAATTGGCCTGTACTTGTCTGGTAATGCCCTTGTGTTGAATTTTTCATTATCAGACAGGCTTTACCAGATGCTAACCAATCTTCAATTTCACCTCCTTGTGGTATATTGGTAAACTGCTTGGCAATGAGTGGGTGTAGACCTGTCAGATGTTTCAACCAAAAACCATGCAGTTCATCTTCATCTGGAGCTGACCAATTCTTGATCTTCTTTGCCCTTTTTTCCACTATTCTGTTGTTATTACAGTTCTTTCAGCTTATATAAGAGAGATAAGTTCTTTCAGCTTATCTATCTCCTTTATCGAAACTGCCTTCTTGTTGCAGTCTTTGCAACAGGAGCCTTGGTGGCGCAGCGGACTAAAGTGCTGTTAAGTAGCACTTAGCTGCCAGCTGCCTGCAATTACTGCAAGTTCAAATCCCACCAGGCTCAAGGATGACTCAGCCTTCCATCCTTTCGAGGTAGGTAAAATGAGGACCCGGATTGTGGGGGCAATAAGCTGACTTTGTATAAAAAAAGAACACTGCTTAGGGGGAGGCCGAAAGCCCTACTAAGCAGGTATATACAAAAGTATGAAGGCTATTGCTTAACACATTGTAAGCCGCCCTGAGTCTCTGGAGAAGGGCAGCAAATAAATCGAACCAATAAATAAATAAATAAATCTTTGGATTGTCCCTGGGCTACACTTAGAACTGCGCTGTTAGGTGTTGACTGCTTCACCTAACAGTCAACACCTAACAGTGCAGTTCTCCATTGATGGATTGGTATTATTGTTTAACAGATGTGCCTTCCCATTTTGTCTGCCCCTTTTCTAATTGCCATGGTTTACTGTACTTGACTCATTATTTGCAATGTATTGTGTACCACCTTGAGAATTCTTTTTCTGAAAGTAACACCACTGTTCTTTTCGTATAATGTAGAAATTAAATGGAGCAAAAACTTTGTATATGCTACTTTGTGAGTACACCTTTTTTAAAAATCTTGCTCAACTCACCATGATACACGATTGATGGGCACTCTGAGGAATGCTTCAGAACATGGGGCTCTAAAAAGAGGAGGGACTCCAGGTCTTTATATATAAACCAACCTTTTAAAAAATACATATCCATTGGATAGCATGTCTGGATGCTTAGGAACTGAGTACAGAGATCAATAAAGGCTTGATTAATAACTTGGATGGATAACTCCTGACTGGACATATTGGCAAGTGTTCAGCTGAATGGTTGACTATCTACTGTATAGGGGTTTTTACTTGGGGAACAAGAGAGCGCATCTGAGAAATGCCTATAATTTGGGAGCGTAAACAAACATTATGGTTGCTACAAATTGTGGCCTAGCCTAAGTAGACTTCAAATTTGTCACAAAAGCAAATTTTCCCTTACTATTATGTAACAGTAACAGAGTTGGAAGGGACCTTGGAGGTCATCTAGTCCAACCCCCTGCTCACGCAGGAGACCTGTACTAGGGATTCGAACCGCCGAACTGCTGACCTTTCTGATCGACAAGCTCAGTGTCTTAGCCACTGAGCCACCTAGTCAGTTGTATTCAAAAATATATAATGATTACACTAGAATCACCTTTTGGAGTTATATTAAGAATTGATGCCTTGGAACCAGTGGTGGGTTGTCCCTGGTTCGGACCGGTTCTATAGAACCGATAGTAAAACTGGCGGGATGCTCCGCACACCAATCGCAATGTCATCAGGACATTTCTGCGCATTTGTGCGGCCCTGTTGCAAACCAGTAATAAAGGTAAGTAGAACCCACCCTTGCTTGGAACTGTACGCTGATGAAGGAAAAATAGATATTCAGTTTATCTAGTACTTGACCATGGAGCTGGAACTTATGCATTTCTACGTGGAAGCCAATCCAACTGGTTTTCTTGGGGATTATTCCCTAGTAAAAGTGCATAGCGTGTCCGCAGGACTCTGCTATATTCATTTGGATTTGCAGATCTTTTTTGCTGGCAAAACAAATTAAATGAATTGTATTCCCTAATTCGCATCATAAATGCCTGTAGACATAATTCCCAGTAGGGTTATTATTGGCCCAGACTTCATTCCCTTTTTCAGAATCTTTTCTGAGCACTGTGTGGTAGATCAGGGAAGCTGATTGGAGAAGGAAGGAAGGAATACATTAAGTACTCAGGGGCCATCTACCACAAGGGTCTCCAACCTTGGCAACTTTAAGACTTGTGGCCTTCAACTCCCAGAAAAGCAAAGCAAAGGAGTTGAAGTCCACAAGTCTTAAAGTCACCAAGGTTGGAGACCCCCGTGGTAGATGGCCCCTGAGTACTTAATGTATTCATTCCTTCCTTCTCCAATCAGCTTCCTGTCATCTCGCTCTCCGCATGTTCTGTTCCTCTTTTCTGTAGTTACAGTAGAAGCTACCAAATAGAGGAAGACTTTTGTCTTGTCCTTGCAACCAGGATTGTCAAGACACTATTTCAAATCTTTAATTGAGTCCTGATCATAAAGGGCTGAAAAGTAATGACCTGTTCCGATATTTCAGGCTAGAAAATTGAAATAGAACTTGGTTCCATCTCAGCCATGAATAGTACGGTAATTGTGTATGGATGATGCCTTGAAATCATGATCAGCAAAGCAAATCCCAGCCTGATGTTCTGTTGAAGTCATAATCTTTATAGCCAGACAAAGGGAACACCCAGGCAAGGACTGCCTCTATTCCCACCCACCCACCCAATACAGTTACAGAACAATTACACGATAAATATATTCCAAACACACATAAATTAAGCAGCACAGTTTTACCAGGGCTCTAACCCAGGTAGAGTCCTTCTTTTCTAAAAGTTTATGAGCAGGAGAAGAGCACCAGACCAATGTCGATGGTCTAGTCTAGAGCCAGTTCCTGGAAGCTCTCACTGTCTTTCTTCTGGGGCTCAACCACATCTGCTCATAGCAGCACATTCCTCTCCCTGTGAGTGGCGTTCTCCACTTCCTCTTCCTCTTCTGAGCCCGAGGTGTCTGAGCTGAAGCTGAAGGCGTCGGCATCACGGTGCAGGAATTGCACACTGGCCCTGTGTTTCTTACACTCGTCACCGCAGCTCTCTTCTTCGTCCTCTTCCCCTGGCGCCTCTCCAGGCAGCAGTTTCTCTGGAGCCTTGCTTGCCACTCTCTGCTTCTCCACTTCAGCCTGGGTGACCTGCTCCTTGGCCTTCCGACTTCGCTTCCACTTCATCCTGCGGTTCTGGAACCAGATTTTCACCTGAATGAAATGAACAGACAAAGGTTGACCCTGTGTCAATGACCAGTGGTGAAATTCAAATTTTTTTACTACTGGTTCTGTGGGCGTGGCTTGGTGGGTGTGGTGTGGTTTGGTTTGGTGGGCATGGCTTGGCTTGGCTTGGCTTGGCTTGGCTTGGCTTGGCTTGGCTTGGTGGGCGTGGCAAGGGAAGGATACTACAAAATCTCCATTCCGACCCCACTCCAGGGGAAGGATACTGGAAAATTTCCATTCCCACCGCACTCCAGGGGAAGAATACTGCAAAATCTCCATTCCCACCCCACTCTGGGGCCAGCCAGAGGTGGTATTTGCCAGTTCTCCGAACTACTCAAAATTTCCGCTACCGGTTCTCCAGAACCTGTCAGAACCTGCTGAATTTCACCCCTGTCAATGACCCTTCAGCACTCTCCTAGCTTCTCTCTACTATCCTTGGGAAGCACAGATCAAAGGTGGAAAACTGCCCTCTCTGCAACTTAGCTGCCAATGACTTAAAAAAACCTCTGCAATGACTTAACCACTCCAATACCTTAACCGCTCCCTTGCAGGGACCAGTATTTTCATTACTTGTAAAACAGCTACTTTGGGTTGGTTTCTGCAGCCCATAAAAATCTCTCTGCAAGACTGCCTTGCAGTTTCATCAAAGAATGTAGAAAATTTTCACAGTGGTTTGTTTATTGGTTAAAGGTACACGCCACCCAAATCCCAGTGAAGAAGATCTCTCTCTTTTTTTTAGTGAGACAATCTGCATTTCTGAATTGTTGTAATACAGTAATTGCTGTTCCATTTATCTATGTATGATACAGGTCCCTTTTATAAAGGAGAATGAAAGAAAGAATAAATGAGATATCTATTTTCTGATGATAGGAAACAATTTTGACATTGGTTCTAAAATGTAGAGGACTAGCTTATCTTCTTCATGCTCGGATGCTAGAGTGGACAGCCGTACACTGCAAACTTGATGGGACCTAGTGGACTTCTTCATCTCACCTACCTTCCTGGCTGTGCCATCTTAATAACATTCATGATGAACAGTGGGAAACGCACATGCTGCTTAGATGTTTGTGAATAAAAGAGATGGGGAGTATGGATTACCAACTGGGGAAGCACATTAGTAATTATGTACATGCCATATTTTATTTTATTATAAGTTTTCATTCTGCGATTTCTAGATATATGCACTAACAAGGCAACTCTTGGTGGTAAAATCCCAGGAGGCAAAAATTCATTTTGCCTCTTTACTTCTCAGTGATATTATTGTTCCACAAGGTTATCTATTCCATTTTTTTTAAAATTCCCCCCATGACTATCAGCAGATGGCAGCACTAGCAGACTTTGGCTCTTCCCACATATCAGATCATCAGTTCTGGTTAGAGATATCATCAGGAAATCCCAAGGCCGAGGATGGAATGGGAACGTGTGTGGTGGTTGTTGTTGTTTTTTTAAAAAAAAAAACCCGCCCAAAAAGAAGATAAGCCATTTTCATATTGTTACCCGAAAACTATCTGGAGGTGTCCATGAAATCACCAGGAGTTCCTCTTGACTCAAGGGAGATGATAAATTATAAAAGGTACAAGGTGAAATGTGTGCATATTGTATGTATTTTGTCCCTTCCTTGACAATACGGACAAGACACTGAGATTATGCTTCTCTTTCCTGGGTGATACCTGTGTCTCCGTTAGCATCAGTGATGTGGCCACTTCAAAACGTTTGGGCCGCGAAAGATACTTGTTGATTTTGAATTGGTTCTCCAGCTCCAGCAGCTGTTGGCTGGTAAAAGCTGTTCGAGGTCTACGGCATTTTCCCATCAGGTTGGTTGGTGGGGAACCTGAAAAGAAAAAGTAAAATCAGGATGTGGTCCACCATGGCAGCCTTCTTCACACTTCTCCACTATTGACCCGAAACAAAACTGTGTATCATTGCTTAGGTTTCTACTATGCGGATGTTTGCAAGGAGACATCAATATGTTCAGAGGCTTACACATGGTTTTTATGTTGTGGTAAACTATTATTACTAAACACCATCAAGAGTCTGTATGCCATCCTTTGCTCACTTTAACAATCTAAAACTTACACTGTTTATATATGGTAGTATAGAATGAACCAATGAAGGAGAAGCTAGCACTGATGATGTCACCTAGTTAAGGTAATAAAACGTCTTCAGGAAAACAAGCCAGCTCAGAGAGCACCAAGAACCCCTCTTGTAGAATGTATTATTACTGTAAATCAAAATATATCTAGATGCTCTAGGTAGGACACTGATGGTTAACCTTTTTGGTGCCGAGCAGTGGTAAAATTTAAAATTTGTTACCACCGGTTCTGTAGGCGTGGCTTGGTGGGGGGGGAAATGTGACTGGGTGGGCGCGGCCAACTTTTTTAAAAAAAACTTTTAAAAGCATTTTTTCTACAATCTCTTCAGCCAAAGAGGTTGCAAAAAAAATGCATTTAAAAGGCTCTGACGATCCCATCTGAGTTGCCTGATTGTCAGAGGCTTTTGTTTTCTTTTAAAAGCATTTTTTTTTTTTGCTTTTTGCAACTCAGCTGGGATCATCAGAGCTTTTAAAAGTATTTTTTTTACAACCTCTTCGGCTGAAGAGATTGTAGAAAAAACGCTTTTAAAAGTAAAAAAAAAAAAAAGCCCCTGATGATCATGCGGCTCAGTTGGACATGGGGGGGGGGGCAGGGATTTTTGCTACCGGTTCCCTGAACCACCCGCCGCCATCGCTACCGGATCGGGCGATCCGGTCCAAACCGGGAGCATTTCATCCCTGGTGCCGAGTGCCCAAAGCGCATGCGCAAACCCCCAAAATGCGAGTTCCCCCACACATGCACGCACATCCCTGCGTATGCGTGCACATCCCCTGCACACGTCCCCCGGGGCCCTCACTGTGCCTCATTTTGGCTTTCAGGTTGGTGCAGGAGGTTTTCCAGGCCCAAAATGGGGCGTCGGGGGATGCATGCACGCAAACCCCCAAAATGCAATGTGAGCAACCCCTTGTGCATGTGCTCTGCCCCCCACTCATGCATGCGTGCATGTCCCCTGCATGCACCCCTGTGCATGCAAGACAGAGACCCGAAGACCAGCAGGCTGGCGGGAGGCACGTGCACATGCACAGTGGAGCTGGTCTTGGGGCGACAGCTGGCATGCCCGCATAGAGGGCTCTCGTGTGCCACCTGTGGCACATGTGCCATAGGTTCGCCATCACAGCGACTTCTCAATATTTCACTTTCTTCCTAGTGATAGAGAAGGATATTTCTGATATTTCCTTCACAACTTTGAACCAAATATACTGCTATCTCCAGTTGGTATTTATACATAAAGAGCCGCTGCATTGCTGTTGATGCTGTTATTATTTCATATTTAAATAACGCTGCTGCCATATCTAAAAGCATTTGGATGCTACCATTGGTTATAAAAGGCCAACTGGGTATTAACAAGCCTATAAATGCAACTAGTTGCTTGTCTGGCAACTGTTAGATAAAGTGACTGCCATATTTAACAGATGAAAATACAATTGGGATTTCTTTTTTCTGCTCTTTACTTCTTCTTTTTTGCTCATGTGTATCTTTTAACAGAAAGCTACAATGCAAACATTAAGCAGCTGATTATCTCTCCACAGCCATATTCGTCTCAGGAAAAGCTTCACTTATTGGTGTTATTTATATAAATGAAGATTTTTTGCAACAAAACTAGTCTTTTATATAGTACACAATTCCCTTGGGGATGTCTTTCATTCTTGTTCAACTGCTGTTTGCTGCTTCATTGGTATTTTCTTCAGCATGAGAGTTGGAAGGTTGAACTTTATCCAGCCTTGAAAGGCCTCTTATCTCTCAGCTAATTATCTTATAGAGTTGATATGGTACAGTGATCAAATAAAGGCAGCCTCATAGTAATTTATTTTTATTTCTGTTATGATTTATTGTATATCTTGCCTTCTGGCAAATAAGGCAAAGCTTCCTAGAGGAAAGGTGGCATCCAAAGGTAATATGTATATAAATACATTTTCTTCCTGGCAACATGATTTCAAGAGTTTTAGATAGTATTATATATCCTAATGTTTGAATACTGCATTGGGCCTGAAAAATGTCAGATCATGTCATGTCCCTTTCATGCACCAGAACCTCTCAACTCTTTTTCACATAGCAGTCATCTGGATTTTTTAGCCCAGTTTTTACTTCTATAAATATTACCATGCCACTTTCGCATAAAGGGTCTAATTTTATTGACTGATACCGCATAATCAGTTCAGAATGAGGACAGGAAACATTGCATATATTTTGAATGGGTACCTGTCAATCTCAGTCTCAAAGAGGTTGCCAAGCACCTGATTGTGATCACAGATCTCTCTCTCTTTCTCTTTCTCTCTCTCTCCCTCCCTCCCCCTCTCTTTCTCTCTCTCTCCCTCCCTCCTCTCTTTTCTCTCTCCCTCCTCCTCTTCTCTCTCTCCCTCCTCCTCTCTTTTTCTCTCTCCCTCCCCCTCTTTTTCTCTCTCTCCCCTCCTCTCTTTCTCTCTCTCCCTCCTCCTCTCTTTTTCTCTCTCCCTACCCCTCTCTTTCTCTCTCTCCCTCCCCCTCTCTTTTTCTATCTCTCCCTCCCCCTCTCTTTCTCTCTCTCTCCCTCCTCCTCTCTTTTTCTCTCTCTCCCTCCCCCTCTCTTTCTCTCTCTCCCTCCCCCTCTCTTTTTCTCTCCCTCCCCCTCTCTTTTTCTCTCTCTCTCCCCCCTCTCTTTCTCTCTCTCTCCCTCCTCTCTTTTTCTCTCTCTCCCTCCCCCTCTCTTCTCTCTCTCTCCCTCCTCCTCTCTTTTTCTCTCCCTCCCTCCCCCTCTCTTTCTCTCTCCCTCCCCCTCTCTTTCTCTCTCTCTCCCTCCTCCTCTCTTTTTCTCTCCCTCCTCCTCCTCTCTTTCTCTCTCTCACGCACATAGATAGTACTTTTTGTAGGGAGTAAAAATCTTCTCAAACTGACTTCCACAGAATTGACTAATCTTTCATTTACCTCCCTAGTAACTTATATATAATAACACATGAATATCTATGATAGCATTTCCTTCCTACCAGTGGCATTTTATTAAGTTTGTCAGGCTTGGCAGACCGTATGAACAGACATAAGCTTGATAAGTTGAGCCTGCTTTTTTTCCTTCAAATAATGATTTTATGACCCGGCTGATATTAACCTGTTTGATAAGCTATCAGCCTTTGCTTTAGAAATTGCAATCAATTCCGTTGGTGAAATTAAACCGCCTTTATTAGTATAAGGTGTATTTAATTACCTCCAGCTGTTCCAGGGAGTGATAAAGGCAGCCTGCCTCCACAGAGGTTTACCAGAGTACCTGACTGGCCAATAAGCTGTTATCAGAGCTTGTTGCTGAATGGGGAGAGGGGTGGAGGAACAAAAGAAGCTTTGAGGGAAGGCTGCAGCTTGCCCCACATGGGCAGAACAGGAAGGGTGTGCTTGACTCCACCACTATTGCCCATTTTATGGGCTGCCTCCTGGATTAGCTTTTACAGCCCTTGACTAAATAGAGAACAAACACTCAGGGGTGAAAGTGGGTTGGAAGAGATAGGTACAGAGAATCAGAGAAACATGATGAGAGTTCCCAACAAAGACACAACTTTGATCACTGAATGGGTTGAATAGGTCTGGAGAAGTAAACCATCAAACATCTAAGAAGGGTTCCATGCCGCAGGTGCCACAAGACTTCACCCGTTCCCCAAACTTCATTCTCATGGAATTTGGAGTTGCCTCTGAAGCTTCAGAAATCGGCACTCTGCGTTTGAGGATAGGAGATACTCAAAAATTGTAATCTGAACTGTAAGATATGCTTTGTGGTGATCCTTCAGTGGCTCTCAACTCTTCATGATCCAATGGACATTTAAAAAAAAAACATACCCCAATCACCCTCCTAATAATTCATGAAATTTTTAAAAATTTCATGTGCATGAGATGGCCCTGTTTGCTTTTCATCATCACCCACCCAAGCTAGATCTCGCTGTCCCAAAAGTGAAAGTGTGGCCTTCAGCTGTCCAACGCGTCCCTCCCAGGAAACCACTGACTGTTTTGATTATTGCCTTAAATGATAGTGCCTAAAGTTTGATAGTTTCAATCATTGCTAGCACCTGGCAAACCTTGTCTGTGCCCAAAAGTTTAAACAGGGTCTAGATTTAATGGAAATCCTAGAGGTGAGGCTAGACTGAAAAACTGGGGGGAAATATCCTATCAGAAAACAAGTATAAATCAATTCCAAGAAAATGACATAATATTAATTTTTGCTGAACCTGGGGCACCTTTATCTTTAAATTATATGGCCTCATTCTGCACTGAAAATGAAGTAATCACCTGTAGGCTCTAACATCTAAAAGAAACTGACAAAGAATTTCCCGTAGCCTTTAGTTATCTTAGCTGCCATGAATGTCAAAATCCTAACTTTATCTCATGGAATATTGAGGTTTTTGCTGTTTTGGCTCCTATGACAGAAAAATAGAATGAAGGTAGATATAGAAATAAACAGAAGTAGTTATTCAGATGAAATTGTGAAGGAATTTGCAGATAATATAAAAAAATCTTGAATTTAACAGAAAGAAATTTAACCGACAGTACAAAGTTCTATACTTGGGAAAAATAAAATGCACAGATATATATGGGACACACCTGACTTTGGGGGGGGGAAAGTATTGGAATGATGTTTGATTGTATATCTGTTAAAAGATAAATGCAATTTTGGATGGCACTAACAGAAACATTGCTTTTAAATTATAAGAAATAACCATTCCACTTAATTCTGCATTGGTAGGGCCCCACCTTGAGTATTATGTCCCATTCTGGGACTTTAAGA